GCATTCCTGGGAAAAGGGAGCAGCGCCCGGGACAGGGCGAGGGTCGGGGGGTGCCCCGTGTTCTGCCCGGCGAGGGTTCCGTGCCCACGTATGCAGTGGGGAGGACGTGCCTTTTTCTCGCCATGTTGCGCTGCATGCGGACTCTGCTTGCAGGCGCCGAGCCCGGCTGCCCCCGCTCCTTTCCGGGGGGCTCGGGAGTGCCCCCCGCCCCCGCGGAACGGGACCGCCGGTGTGTCGGGGCCGTGGGGCGAGCGCTGAACCCCCTGCTCGCCCCGAGGCTTCAGGCACAGCGGCAGCGGGCCCGGAGCCCCGCAGGCTCGCCTGCCTTGTGCTGGCCCCACCAGCCATCCTTTGCCCCTTCGGATGTCCTTTTGGGGGGACCTTTCCCGAGCCAAACCCCCTGGGTTGGAAAGCCCAGACCCCCCGCTTAGTTTTCATGTGCGATTTGTGCTTTTTCTCCGCGGCTCCGATTTTTGGTGAATTTTTAAAAGAATTTTGCTGCTCGCTGCCTGCTAAAAGGATCCAGGCGGCTCGGGCTCTCTCCACCCCACCTCGCCCTCGCTATGTCTCCCGTCCTTCCCCCCCATCTCGGGATTGGGGGCGCAGGGCTGGGGGACAGCCGGCGGAGGAATTTTTACAATTGTCGGAAACGACAGGGGATCGTCCCGGGATGCCACCAGCCCCAAAACCTGGACCGCCGGGGAAGTTTTGATATTTTTTATCGATTTTTTGAAAATATGACGAAATAAAAAAGAAAAATTGGGTCAAAAAAAAAAAAAAAAAAAGGTCTGAGGCTGCTCGCTTGTTGCTGGATGGGGCTTTTCGGCTCTCCCACACAGTGTCTTGAATTCATTTCTTACTGAATGAACTAAAGGAATGTGAAAGCCGATTGACAGCCTTCCCAGCCTCTCCACAGATCTCCCCCTCCCCCAAATTTAGCTCCCCGGGAAACAAAAATAGCAGGAGCAAAAGCAAGGGAAGTAGTGGTCTGGTGGGTTCACTCATTGATATATTTTTTCCTTCTTGTCTCTTTCTCGCTTCCCACCCCCGTTTCCCTCCCGACTGCCCCATCGTTCTCTCCCCACGCTCTTCACTTGCAGGTCTGCGAAGAGCAGAAGTGCGAAGAAGAAGTTTTCCCTCTGGCCATGAATTACTTGGACAGATTCTTAGCTGTGGTGCCCACTCGGAAGTGCCATCTGCAGCTGCTGGGGGCAGTGTGCATGTTCCTGGCCTCCAAGCTGAAAGAGACAATCCCCCTCACAGCCGAGAAGCTGTGCATATACACGGACAATTCCATCAAACCCCAAGAGCTGCTGGTAAGCAGCCCCATTCCTCCCTCTTCTCCGGCACAGCACCCAGCACTTCGCCACCCAACCCCTGCCTTTTAGAAAAACCCACGCTTTTCCCGCGTTTCTGAAGGGCCACAAAGTCTTGGGGTTCGGCGCTGAGGGCTGGGGACAACCGCGGGAACATCCCTGTCCTCCGGAGCCGCCTGGCAGTGCCATGAGGCGCTCCGGCCGCTGCCCGCCTCGGGCGCTGCCAGGGGTTCTGGGCTTGGCGGTGCCGGGAGTGGGTCCGTCCCCGCCGTGTCCCCGCCGTGTCCCCGCCGTGTCCCCACGGGGGACCTCGCCGGGCGCACGTGCGCGGGCGGGCGGCGCGGCGGCGCCACCTAGCGGCAGACACGCGGCAGTGCGGGGCCGGGGCCGGGGCCGGGGGGGACCCGGGATGCTTGAGGGGGCCCCCCAGGATGCTCGGCCGTGCCCAAGGAGTTCCACCTGGGCACGAGGAAGAACTTCTTCACTGTGCAGTCACCGAACACTGAACAGATTGTCCAGAGAGGGTGTGGAGTCCCCCTCATAGGGGGTATTTCGGAGTTGTCTGGGCACAATCTTGTGCCCTGTGCTCTGGGATGACCCTGCTGAAGCAGGGAGGTGGTACGAGGTGCCCCACTGTGTGGTGCCTTCCAGCCTGACCCATCCTGTGTGATACGGCTCAGTTAAACCACCCTGTGTTTGCTGCTTCTCTCAGTTCAGATGCAGTGGAAGCAGAAACAAATGGATAATTACTGAAGGAAATAAGTGATGTATACATCATGATGCGGAGCACTGAATGTGCACCAGAGCCCCTTGGTGATATGGATGTTAGGTCAGACACATGGCTGTAGTCATCCAAGTTGCAGGAGAATTTGTCCTATGAATCACTGGGAATTCCCTCTGGGGAGGCGTTGGGGTTGATAGCTCGTGCTGCCACAGAATTAAAGAGCCTTGCCCTCAAAGCCTGCCTGGCTGTCAGGGCCACGAGGTGTCTCGTTGGCAGCACAGATGGGCAGGGGAAGTGCCGTGGTCACCATGTGCAGATACGCAGAGCGATGTCTGTGCCTTCTCACGCCACGTGGATTGAAGCATGTGTTTAAAGTGCTTCCTTGTCTTCTGGGTTGACCATTCTCAAAACCTGTCACATCAGTAATGCTGGAAAGAGCAAGCCTTTGTTCACATAATTGCTATTATGTTCCAACATTTCACAGGTTTTCTTGAGAAACTAAAGAAACCCATCTGGTTTCTGTGGCCTTTTGCATATATGTTAGATTTTTCAGGCCATGGAGGACTCTGTCATAATCCAGCAGGAATGTCCGTAGGAAAGTAACTTGCTCTTAAAGTGGGCATCTATTCAGGGAAACAACTGCAGAAATGGCATTGTGGGGTCCATGTTTATGGTTTCTCAGCAACGCTGGTTGACGTCTCTGCGG